CGGTGGTGTGGGTGGTGTGAGGTGGTGGTGATGTGGTGGTGGTGATGGTGGTGTGATTGGTGGGGGTGATCGTGAGGTGTGGTGTGTGGTCTGGAGGTGGTGGTGTGGATGTGATGGTGGTGGGTGTGGTGGTGATGTGATGGTGGTAGAGTGGTGTGGTGATGGTGGTGATGTGAATGGTGGTGTGGTGGTGGTGGGTGATGTGATGGTGTGGGTGTGGTGATGTGATGAATGTATTGTGGTGTGGTGGTGGTGGGTGGTGATGTGATGAGGTAGGTGAGGTGCGGTGGTGGTGGTGTGTGATGGTAGAGTGGTGTGGTAGTGGGTGGGGTGGTGGTGGTGGTGATGTGATATGTGAGGTGGTGTGGTGGGGTGGTGGTGATTTGTGATGATGGGTATGGTGCATGGTGGTGCTGTGGTTGGTGTGGTGTGGATGGTAGAGGGTGTGGGTAGTGGTGGGTGTGGTGGTGGGTGGGGGGAAAAATTTTGGAGTTTGAAAAAATGGGGCGGTGGTGATCGTAGTGTGTGTTGATGTGTGGTAGTGTGGTGTGGTGTATGGGATGGTGGTTGGTGGTGGTGTGGTGGTGGTGAGCTGTGATGGTGGTGTGGTGGTGGTGTGATTTGATGATGGTGTGGTGATGGTGGTCGCGTGGTTGGTGGTGGTGGTGGTGTGATGGTGGTGGTGGTGGTGATGTGATGTGTGGTGTGGTGTGGTGGTGAATTGATGATTGGTGTGGTGATGGTGGTGCGGTGGTGGTGGTGGGGTGGTGTGATGGTGGTGTGGTGTGATGGTGGTGGTGGTGATGTGTGGTGGTGGTGGATGATTGAATGGTGGTGTGGTGGCTGGTGGTGATGTGATGATGGTGTTGGTGATGGTGTGTGCGTGTGGTGGTGGTGGTGGTGTGTGATGGTGGTGGTTGAATGTGATGTGATGTGGTGGTGTGGTGGAGGAAGATAAGGAAGAGAAGGAGAGGCGGAGGAGGAGGTGGTGATGGTGGTGGAAAGAGGAGGCGGGGGAGGGGAGGAAGAAAGAGGCAAGAGGAGGGAGAGGAGTATGAGGTGAAGGAAGAAAAGAAGATGGAAATGATGAAGAAAGAAAAAGATAAAAAGAAAGTGAAGGAAAAGATAAAGGAACAGAGGAAATGCAGAAAGTGTTATTTCTTGACGCAGAGCATATTCAGTGTCAGAATTTCTACAACAATAACAATCATCCTGGAATATTTGCCTAGACACAAAACTATTGCAGAGGAGAAAAATAAATAAATAAAAAAGAAAAAAAGAAGAACACACGAACACTATGTTCTTCGGCGTCGCGATGTTATCAGCTAAAAAAAAAAAAAAAAAAAAAAAAAAAAAAAAAAAAAAAAAAAAAAAAAACGGAAAAATAAAATAAATAAAAAGAAAAAAGAACACACGAACACTATGCTTTTGGCGTCGCGATGTTATCAGCCAAAAAAATAACGAACCAAGGACATAGTTATAAATCTTGGGTCGTTTGTCATTTAATACACGCGATCCTCTTTGTACCACAAGTTTCTACGATACGTTTATTTCTTTTGAACAGAAATTCACAATTTTCAAATAACAATTTCGTTTTATTTGCTTTTTTTTCAAATTCCTTCTAGGCTGAGGTCATATTTTATTTCAGACTACAATATTTTTTTCTCGATTTCTGTTATAATTGACAAGGTGTACTTTCATGCTACACTATGAAATCAGAATGCAAAGTTGTGTACTTTTGTTCAAGACTGGATATGGATATTTGAACATTTTAATTTGAACTAATTTTTTTCTAAAGAAAAAACTTTATTCTTATTTACTGTTTTTTGTACATTTTACCTGTTATATTGTAGTTTGACATTGTGTGTATGAGAGAGAGAGAGAGAGAGAGAGAGAGAGAGAGAGAGAGAGAGAGAGAGAGAGAGAGAGAGAGAGAGAGAGAGAGAGAGATGAGAGAGAGAGAGAGAGAGAGAGAGAGAGAGAGAGAAGAGAGGGGGGGGGGGGGGGGGGGGGGGGAGAGAAGAGAGAAGAGAGATAGAGAGAGAGAGAGAGAGTTAGAGATGGAGAGAGAAGAGAGAGAGAGGGAGAGAGAGAGAGTAGAGAGAGAGGAGAGAGAGAGAGAAGAGAGAGAGAGGAAGGAGAGAGAGAGGAGAGAGAGAGAGAAGAGAGAGAGAGAAAAGAGACAGACAGACAGGCAGACAAGAGGAGAAAAAGAAAAAAAAGAAAAGAAAGAGCTAAACACCACCAACGCCGGTCCTTTCCCCCCACCTTCCTCCCCAAGAGAGAGATCGGAGAAGACCTTGATGAGAGAGAGAGAAGAGAAGGACAGGCAGACAGAGAAGAAAATTAGGAAAAAAAAAAAAGAAAGAAAGAAAGAGGCCCCTTCCTCCACACCTCCCCTTCCCCACCACCATACCGCCCAACCCAACCCTCAGATACTCACAGTCAGGGAAGAAGAACTTAATTTCTCTCTGGGCGGAGGTGGGCGAGTCGGACCCGTGGGCGGCATTGTGGCTGTCGTTGGCGTGGTCTCCGAATCTCGCCCTTATGGACTCCGGAGCTTCCTGCCGGGCCTGGGACACCCGCGTGGGCCCCAGCAGCCTCCGCCAGTGGGTGATGGCCTCCTCTCCTGCGGCGGGAGGGAAGGTAAGGGGGCGGTTAGTGTGCGGGGGTGGTTGAGGGAGGGAGGGAAGGATGATTGGGGGGAGGGAGGGAAAGGGATGAGGGGGGAGGGAGGAGGGAAGGATGAGGGAGGGAAGGGAGGGGGGGGAGGAGGGATGAGGGGAGGTAGGGAGGGAGGGAGAAGGGAGGGAAGGGAAGGATGAGAGGGAGGGAAGGATGAGGGGGGAGGGAGGGAGGGAAGGGGGGAGGAATGAGGGGGGAGGGAGGGAAGGGATGAGGGGGGAGGAGGGAGGGAGGGAAGCAAGAGGGGGAGGGAGGGAAGGGATGAGTGGGGGGGGATGACGGGGAGGTAGGGAAGGAGGGAGGGAATGAGGGAGGGATGGGGATGGAAGGATGAAGGGGGGGAAGGGATGATGGTACGAAGGGAAGAAATGGAGGAAGGATGAGGGGAAGGGAGTGATGGGGGGGGAGGAGGGAGGGAGGGAAGGGATGAGGGGGAGGAGGGAGGGAGGGATGAAGGATTGAGGGATGGGAGGTGAAGGGAGGGAGGGAGGGGAAGGAAGGGATGAGGGATGGGGAGGGTGGGAGGGTATGGTTGTGTAGTTATGTGTTGTGTGTGTATGTGTGTGTGTGCTGGATGTGTGTGTTGTGTATGTGTGTGTGTGTGTGTGTGTGTGTGTGTGTGTGTGTGTGATGTGTGTGTGTGTGCGTGTGTGTTGTGTGGTGTGTGCTTGTGTGCGTGTGGTTTCTTGCTGTCTCTAAAGAAGTTAACTTGAGAAATTACTTTACAGAAGCAAGTAACATTTAAAAAAAACAGTTAATCATATCTCACAAGAAATTTCATATCTAAATAATTCACATTTTCCACATCTATTACCAAACTACATTTGAGACGGACATGAAAAGGACAATGTTGTATGTACTACCCTCTCCCCTCTTTCATCTACCTCTCCTTTCTCGCTTTCTTTCCTCTCTCTATATATGCGTCTATCTTTATCTCTATCCCCTTCCTATCCCTTTGTTTATACGTTTGTTTGCCTCCCTTTGTTCTTATCTCTCTCTCTCTCTCTCTCTCTCTCTCTCTCTCTCTCTCTCTCTCTCTCTCTCTCTCTGTCTGTCTGTCTGTCTCCCTGCTCTCTCTTATTTCTGTCTGTCCTTTTCTATATTAATACACAGCTTTGCCTCTTTCTCTATCCCCCTTTCCCTGCCTCACTTGCTCTATCTTTTTCATTTATCCATTTACTATTCCCTTACATCGCTCTTTCTTTATCTTTCTCTCCCTCTCCCTCTCTGTCTTTATTTAGCCAGTCCATCTATTTGAATATAATTTTTTTCGCCTTTTCAACTTTTTTTTTCAAATTTCGTACATTAATTCATGTACTGAATTCGTTGACTATGTATTTACGTTATAGTCCTTAAGGTAAGTAATACAACTCATATTGGCCCTTATGTAATGATAATCAAAGGGTCTTCTATTCGGAAATGTGCACTGTTCCATATTAATAATTTACTGTTCTCATTTTCCTTTCATTTTCATTTTTTTCCTCTTCCTTTCAGCCAGACAGACAGGTGGATTCTCTCCCTCCTTCCTTCCGTGTCTTTTTTACTTAAATACTCGTATATCCATTCACTTATTTCCTCTTTCACTCTCTCAGCAGTACAGACTCCTAATATTCCGGTTTCCTAGCCAGGTACTGTGTCTCTTATTTATCTGCCTCTCCCCCTCCTCTCTCTTTCTGTCTATGCATCTATATGTCTCTATCTTTCTCCTTTCTTCTTCTTTTTCTTCCTACATTATTTCTTCCTTCCTCCCTCCCTCATTCCTCCTTCCCTCTTCGTCTCGATCTTCCTCTTCTTCTCCTCCATCCTTCCCTCTCCTTCTCCTTTTTCCCTTCCTCCTCCCTCTTCAACTCCCACCTTCCTCTCCCCTCCTTCTCCCTCTCCTTCCCCCTCTCTCTCCCTTCTCGTCCCTCCCTCTTTATCTATCTTCATCTTACCAGCCAGAATAAGAGCCAGAACTTCGCCAGATGTTATGTACTCTAACAGCGGCTCGTAGAAGGATTTGCCTCGATGCTCGTTGTAGAACTCCGCTGCCTCCGCTCGCGTTAGCCTCACCCGACGGCGCTGCAGGAGGAAGAGGGGGCGTCAGCTGGATTGCGAGAGGGAGAGGGAGAGGGAAGAGGGAGAGGGAGAGGGAGAGGAGAGGGAGAGGGAGAGGGAGAGGGAGAGAGGGAGAGGAGAGGGAGAAGGGAGAGAGGGAGAGGGAGAGGGAGAGGAGAGGGAAGGCGAGGCGAGGGAGAGGGAGGGGAGGAGGGAAAGAAAGGGCGAGGTCAGACATGGAGGAGAGAGGAAGGAAGGGAGGGGGAAGGAGCAGGAGAGAGGGAGAAAGGGAAAAGAGAGAGGGACAGAGAGAGAAAGAGAGAATAAGGAAATACAGAACTTGACAGAATGCAGACTGAGATATGAACCACACAAACACAAATCATATAAAACTGACATAAGAAAAATCATCATTGTGTTGACAAATTGTAGGTCAAATCCACCTTAAATTTAGTCATATAAAAACTCACAACTACCCTTAAAATCCCACGTTTTATAGCTCAATTCCATTTGATATCAAGACGCAACAATAAACAAACCTCAACGATGGTAAATCCTTCTTCGAGAATGATCTTCTCAATCTCTGCAAAGCGGCTGATAGCGTCGGGCTTCACCATGGCAAGAGTTCGCTGGATCTTGTCTGAGGCCATTTTGACAGCTGGTTGTCTGCAAGGTCGTCTCGCGGGTTAGTTGTGACAGGTGGTCGTCCTCTTTAGTAGTCCTGTGGTTCTCCCTTTTGGTATAAACTTGTCAGGTTGTTGTTTTTTGCTTAGATTTTGACAAGTTTTGGGTTGAGACAGGTGGTTGTGGTCTTTGGTAGTCCTCGCAGGTGGATTCTTCCTCTTCACTATTAATTTCCACACCTGATCGTTCTATCAAGGTAGTGGTTATGGACCTAATATACAGATCATTATAACTCTTATCCTTATTTTTAAAGCTTGTTTCCTTCGCTGGAATTTGAAAGTTTAATCGTATAACACAATACGACTCTATCTCTCCGCCGCAACCATTGCCAAACCCACACTCACATCACACGTCACGGCGTAACGTTCGAAATGAATAGAAACGTTCTTTTTACAGAATCTTTATCGTGTTCTCTTCTTGATTGTTTTTATTTGTATTTTTTTATTTTTTTCTCTCTTTCTTAATCTCTTTTCTTTATTGGGGGGATTTGTTTATAAGTTTCCTTTACTGTTTTTTTAGACAATTCACGTGACCCGTAACTTCTTACTCCAACGAGAAGTAATTAAAAGTTTGGCCCAGCGCTCTCTGCAGCCGGGACAATTTTTTTTTTTTTTATCGAACTTTCATTGGCGCGAATGCAAACTTAGTTGATCTTCTTTAAACACAAAAAAGTGAAGGAGAAATTCCCCAAAAAAGTCTGCTCTTTCACCTTAAACAGGCTGTAGTTGTGGACCTCAATTTTCTTGATTTTTTTTTCCTCTGGTCCCTGAAGACGCTGCAGCCTAATAGTTTCTTACCTGAAACATAACATTTATATAGACACACAACCACACACACACACACACATATATATATATATATGTGTGTGTGTGTGTGTGTGTGTGTGTGTGTGTGTGTGTGTGTGTGTGTGTGTGTGTGTGTGTGTGTGTGTGAATAATTTCTAAAGAGAATCATGTCTATATAACACATAGACTACTAAAGTTCCTAACATTATACTTTGTTTACCACATATTACCATTACATATTCAGTAGTGAAATCATTGTTATAAATTAATAACACTGCTAATGCCTTCAGTGATTATGATAAGAATTGTTATAAATCTTATTACTATTATTACTCAGTACAATCATTACAACTCTCTGTGTGTCCGTTCGTTTGTCTCTCTCCTTCCTTTATTTTCTCCTGGTCTTTCTGTTTCTCTCTTTCTCTTTATCTATCAATCTCCCTCTCCCTTCTGTTCCTTCTCTTCTCTCTTCTCTATTCTATTTCTCTCTCTTTCTTTCTCTTTCTATTCTTTCTATTTCTCTATTTCTATTTCTCTCTATGGTCTTCTCTTCTCTCTCTATTATCTTCTCTTTCTATTCTCTTTTTTATCTTTTATCTTCTATACTCTTTCTTATCTCTCTCTCTCCCTCTCTCCCCACCTTCTCTTCTCTCCTCCCTCTCATCCCTTCTTCTCCCATACACGTCTTTATTGTACATTAAAGACAACGGAAATTCTCCCTCTGTTTCCCCTTTTTCTCATTCATCTTATTATCATTATTATCATTATCATTATTTTTATTATTATTAACATATATAATTTAAAAAATGTCATCCTTGTTGTTGTCATTGGCATTGTTATCATTATCATTTTTTTTACTATTATTATTATCCTTATAATTATCAATATTACCATTATTATTACCATAGTCATTATTACTATTAACAGTGTTATGATTATTACTATCATCACCATTATCATTATCACCAGCAGCATTATTATTGATATATTATCACATTATCATCATCATTATTAGTACTATTCCCATTATATTATCATTATTATTTTAATTATTATCATTATTATCATATTTGTGTTATATTTTATCAATATTATTATCCATATTGCATTATCATCTTCATCTATTATCATCATCTTTATCATTATCATCATTATTATTATCATGTCTCCTTCTTCTTCTTCTTCTTCCTCCTCTTCTTCTTTTCTTCTCCACCTCTTTTTATCAACATCATTTTACTACTTCTTTCTCCCCCCTTCTTTCTTCTTCTCCTTCATCTTCTTCTCCTCCCCCTCTTTCTCTTCCTCTTCCTCCTTTTCATCCTCGTGTTCCCCATAAACCTTTTAGTTCTAATATAATCCTGAAATCCTGATGTTGATGAAATAAAATGTTCTTTACAAAAAAAAAAAAAAAAAAAAAAAAAAAAAAAAAATCTGCAGAATTATGACAAAATCTATAATAATTAAGACACTGACCTTGCAATGATAAAAATGACAATAACATCAACAATAACTGCAATTATGACAACAGCAATGTTTATAATGATATATATAAGAACAACCATGACAGTAATAATGACAGTAGCAATAATGATGATGATAAAAATATTAATAATGATGATGATAAGAGCAATAATGATAATAATAATAAACAGAAGCAACAACAACAACAATAACAATAATAATAAACAATAATACTAGAAATAATAATAATAGTAATATCAATAATAATAGCAATAGTAATAATAATAACAATAATGATAATAATAATAATGATATCATTGATAATAATAACAATAATTATGATGATAATATTGATAATAATAACAATAATAACAATAACAATAATAGTTATCATTATTATCATAATTATTACAGATCAAATAATAATAGCAATGAAAATAAAAACATTTCCTCTAATGCATCGTGTTTGAAAAAATGATAACGATAATAATAATAATAAGAAAAAAAAATAGTAATAATAATAATGATAACCATAATAGCAATAATGATAACATATTTAATATAATAACATAATAACAAAAGTAATAATAATAATAATAATAATAATAATAATAATAATAATAATAATAATAATAATAATAGTAACGTTAATAACAAGAATATTGATAATATTATTAACAACAATAATAACAACAATAACAACAATAATTATAATAACGGCAAAACAAGAATGATGATAATATTATCAACAACAACAACAACAACAACAACATACAATAATAATAATAATAATAATAATAATAATAATAATAAAACATAATAATAAATTATTAAAACAATTGTAATATTAATGATCATGCTGGTGATGATAACAAATTAACAGTAATAATAATAATAGTAATAATAATGATAATGATGATGTGAGGATATAAATAATAATAATAATAATAATAATAACATTAACGGTAATAACAATATGAATGATAACATAACAAATGATAATAATAATAATAATAATGACAATATGATAATTAGTATAACACAAAAATGAATTAACAACAATAATAATTATGATGATAACAACACTAATAGCAATAATATAATAATAATAATAATAATAATAATAATAATAATAATAATAATAATAATAATAATAATAATAATAATAATAATAATAATAATAATAATAATAATAATAATAATAATAATAATAATTAATAACAATAAATATGAAAAAATACATCTTTTTCACTAGATAAATGCATGATGCTTATAAAACGCGATGTATTGTGCTAAGTCGCATGAAACAGATTAAATCATTTGATCTTTCACTTTAATCGAAATATGAATACATGATTAAATTAAAAAAGTGAAAGTTAATCACGATGATTACAAATAAAAAAATATATATAGAAAGAACTGCGTGCAAATAAAATTAAACAAAAAAGGGGGAGGGAGAGAGAAAAGG